TGTGATGAAAGCTCTTGTATTGCAGTCCTGTCTTGTAGCAGTCTATGTTGTATTTGTCCCCCATCCACTCCCTCAACCAACTATCATTCAGTGAACAGAGATAGTAGAGGAAGAGCCTGCAAGGGATACCGCACTGGTTAAACTATAGAGCTGCATCTGAGTAAATACTCTGCAACTGGAAGGCAAGCCTATATTAATTGTGATCTGAATGACAAACTTACTTTCCTGCTTCTAAAAGGTGTAATTCTTTCTGTTTGACTTGCAGGATTACTTTCTCTAAATCACGCGTCAGGCATTGCCATAACTCATCCCTGCGCCTAGCGTGGCCGAGGAGGATGAGCACACATTTTACATTCATTGCCATCTCTTTAAATAGCATTTGTCATCTTGTCTTCCTCGCTCTGAAATGAAAGCCTGGAGAGAGCTGTATTTGGGCTGGAATGACCAAACATTTGTGGATGGTGGGGAGGAAAGGAGAAAATCCCATCATTTGCCTGCAGACTTGGGCACTTGTGGGTGAGCAGGAGCAGGAAGGCTCTGTAGTTGTGCTGTTCCCACAGGAGACCATTGGTGTTTTCATCAGGTGGTTGTCTTTTAAAGCCATTTTTAGCCGGGGCTGCTCACCAGCACATTTTACAACGTGACATTTGTCTGTGGAAAATACCACGTCCCCAGCAAGAGCCCATAGCCAGGGAGCCCAGGCAGGGGGATGCTGCTGGCTGACGTCAGGACACGTCAAAGAGGGATGTATTTTGGGCTTTGCTTATGAAGTGGAAGCCAGACCATGCTCGTGTTACAACATTGATACCCCCTTTGGTGCAAGGACCCCCTGGGACCACGGGGTGGCCTTGAACCACTGCGCATATTTGCTGTTCGGTGCTGATTGTCACCATGGCAGAGGTATGTGATGGGCTTTGTGGAGTGGCACAAGTGTCCCGTGGAAGGGGCTGTTTTGTTGGCATGTGTTGAAAGCAGCTCGAGATGGCTCTGAGGTTTCTCCTTGTCTGCACTGGGGCTGATGGGAGGAAGGGGACTCTTTGGCTTTGCATTGCAATGGGACCTGGGAGCCCATCAGCCGTGCAGCAGCTTGGTGGGACACAGGGGAGCTTGCATGGGGACTGCCCTAGGAACCCCCATCCTCCAGCTCTGTGGGGGCTGCAAAGGCAGCTCTCTGCCGTGTTAAGGGCTGGCTGATTGGCCCAGGCTGTAGGGAGGGGTGCCAGCTGCCTTTTCCAGCTTTTCTGGCATTTCAGGAATGCCCTTCCCTCACTGAAGCTGCATTTCAAAGCCTTTAACCCTTTGGTTGGCTGCATCCCGTGCCTGAATGCATGTCACCCGGCCCTGGTGCTGGGGCAGAGGAGGGCACAGCCGAGTGGGAGCTGGTGTCCCCCTGGTACTGAGCACACCAGGACATCTCAGCTTAGTAGCACAGGGATGTCCTGGAGCACACAAGCTACACAGGAGCCTGTCTGGCTATTCGGACACAGCATGTCCCCATGCATCTGCTTCTTGCGTTTCATGCTCGGAGATGTGCAGCTTGCAGTGCCCACTGCCTCGCTGCTTCAGCAGACTGGTGTAATGGAGCAAATGGTTCATTTTGGGCTGAGTACATATCCTGGGACCTGGCCAGTGGGGAGGTCCAAGCGGTGGCACTCTGCTGCTCCAGCATCACTGGTTTAGGGAGAGATCCCTCCAGATGCTTTCAGGTTTCTCTGGTAGACTTGTCCCCCTGGGGAGGGTGAGCTGAGGTCCTCACCACCCTCATGGGGAACAGTTTTATGTGGACACATAGTTATGGCATACTACTGTGCTCCTTCCTCCTGTACAGCACTGCACAGGCTACAGAAACCCTCTCTGGCAGTCATTGCATGGATTTCAGAAGGGGTTTTGCCCACCCAAACCCAAGCTATTGAGTTGCTATGGGACTCAGTTTAGGAGAGAGGTCGTATTCATTTAGGTGTGCACCAAATGGGATAGGTTCTGCTTTTGATAACCCTGTGCTAGTTAAACCTCTCAAACCACAGGAGACTTCAGCAACGTACTCGCGTTCCATGAGTGTTCCCTGTTAAATTTGCAGTAACACCAAAACTGGCGATTCCTTTGGCATCTGAAGTCACGCGTCTTGCGGCTGTTTATGTTCAGTGGCCAGCTGTGCTCACCAGGTTGTCGCGGTGGCATTGAGGGTCCGTGACAAGCAAGCAGCGGGTTTAACGCTCTGCTCCCAGGGCCTTATTTCCCTGCCCTAGGTTAAGCCCGAGCATTCGCAGAGCCAAGAGGGGTCTGTGCGTGCAGTACCAGCGTCTTCCCACGAGATGGCGCTCGGAGCATGCGGACCCGCTGGGCCGGGAGAGGGTCCAGAGGCGGCCACAGGGATGCTCAGGAGTCTGGAGCATCTCTCATGAGGGGAGGTGGTGGGAGCTGGGCCTGGTTAGTCTGGAGCAGAGCAGGCTGAGGGGATCCCATCCATGCAGATCAGTATCTCGAAGGCAGGTACCAGGAGGATGGTGCCAGACTCTTCTGTGGTGCCCAGCAACAGGATGAGGAGCAATGGCCATGAACTAAAACACAAGTTCCACCTCAACGTGAGGAAGAAGTTCTTTGCACTGAGTGTGTCAGAGCCCTGGCACAGGCTGCCCAGGGGGGCTGTGGAGTCTCCCTCTCTGGAGACATCCCAAACCCACCATGGACATGTTCCTGTGTGCCCTGCTCTGGGTGGCCCTGCTTTGGCAGGGGTTGGACTGCATGATCTCGAGGTCCCTCCCAACCCTGATGGTTCTGTGATTCTGTGGGCATGGGCTGCTGCAGGCTGGCATGCAGCTGGGCACTCTCTGGCCCCACTTCTCCCAGTCACTCTGTTGTCAGCCTACAACAAGTCTCTAACAGCATGTGTATGTGCTTTTGTGAGCTGGGAGCTCTGTGCCGCAGGTATAGCTGCGATTTGTGCTTCCCAGGGTGACACAACTGTTATAAATGTGTTTTCAAGTGAGTGTTTTGCACAATGTTGAGTCCTAACAGGGAGGCCCCCGTATGGGGAGAGGTGTCTGGGGGAGAACAGAGCTGCTGGAGTTGGTGTGCCGTGCCTGAGCACTGTGCTGCAGCGGGGGGGGACTGCAGGCAGCTGCCCTAGTGCTGAGGGGCTGGTGGGGCTTGGGAGACCCAAGGTGACATTTCTGCTTCGCAGCAGGGCTTCTCCTGTAGCTGGACAAGTTCTTTATGTTTGGAAACAGGAATATGTACAGGTGTGTGCCTCTCTGTTAGAGGCACAAACACTTCCTTTCTCCCATTCTTCTTTGTCACTCCAGGTTGGATGGGGCGTGGAGCAAGCTGCTCTAGTGGAAGGTGTCCCTGCCCGTGGCAGGAGTTGGAGCTCCATGAGCTTTAAGGTCCCTTCCAACACAAACCAGTCTGGGCTAAGCCTGAATTCCTACTTCAGTTTAAGTGGGGCCAACCCCCTGTGTATCCCTCAAACCCTCAGTGTGCCCCAAAGCCATTGAGGCTGAATGTTCTATGCCTCTTGCTGTTCTCCCCCAGCAAAGCATCCTCTCATAGCTGGCCTCACCATCCCTCCCATCTCCCTCCCCTCTAATTCCCACTTCCTCCCCAAATGTGTGAAATGGAATGTCATCATCCCAGCTTGCTTAGCAGTGTGGGGATGAAGTATTAGTGGGCAGGGGAGCAGGGAGCTGGCAGACAGGGAGGCAGCCACTGGGGCTGGAAGTTCCATACGGACATGAGATGTAAATGAACTGGCGTTATCTGGGTGATCTCCCCTTCACAGGCTGTGCTGTGGTTTGGCAGCATGTGCCCAGCCTGTCAGCTCTTACAGAGGACTTGTTTTGTGCTTTAAAGTGCCATGGCCCATCACTGGGGCTGCAGTGAATACCATTAACCCGCAGCTCAAGATGGCACTGGTGTGCTCTGTGCCACTGTGCAGTGGTGGCAGCCGCTTGCTCTGGTCCTGGAGCTGAGTTGGAGGTTGGTGTGGATGTGCTGGTTTCACATCCTGAGCATCCTGAGCCAGGATCCAGTATCCACCCAGATACTGAGTGGAGAAGCACGTTCCTCCACAGGCAAGCATGCAGCAGCCCCTCCTCTCCTCCTCACTTCCATCGCTCTCATAAACTTTGCCATTCCATGCATTTTGCAGCACTGATTTTATGCTTCTTTCCCAATTGCTGATGGGAAAGCTGAGCACAGGCTTGGCTGCCTTGGAGAGCTACATCTGAGATCTCCAGCCCCTTACCTGCTGCCCGGGTGCTTTCCTGGCTTGCACAGTACCCCTGTAAATGGAGACACCAGGTTGTGCAGAGCCCAGCACTGTACCAAAGTCAAGGTATGTTCTGCCTAAGCAATTGCTTTGATCCCCAAGGCTGGCTCTCATCAAAGGCTGAAATCAGGATTGTTTGACAACACCTATTTTCCATTAGCAATGTTGACAGCATTAATTATATTCTGATGCTTTAATTCTTTATTATTGAAATCACACATCAGTGCCAGGCATTGCTTTACAAGGGGAGGGGGGGGGGATGTTATGCTAATTAGCTGGAGTTAACTGGGTCATCCCACTCGGTTTTTGGCTGTGGGCACAACACTCCAGCTCTTGTACTGGAGTCTCTGGGTCTGCCAAGATCCATTTTAAACAAACATGAGCAAGCCAGGATTTCTGAGCCAGCTTTTTGAGGACGCTTGGGTGCAAGTTATGTGAAAATATTTATCCCTCTTGTATACTGTTTAACGTCTTCCTTAGTTACTAATGGACTGGAAAGGACTTCATTGTCCTCAAGTGATACAAGTCCATCATCTCGCTCCTTTGCGAAGGCAGAGCAGGAATGTTTATGGGAATCTTCTGCCTTTTCTTTGTCATTATTAACTGTCTTGTGCTCTCTGCTTTGGACGTGGCTGGTGCTTATCTTGGGGTTTCTTTTGTTTGCACTGAATTATAAACATCTCCTCTATATTAGCCCATCACATCCTGGTTTCCTTTGTTCTCCCTCCCACAGGTACAGTCCCCAGATCACAAAGAATGGAGCAAAAGCTCAGCCTGGCAATCCTGAGGTGAAGATGAAAGGTCCCGAGCCCGTGATCAGCCAGATTATTGACAAGCTGAAACACATCAACCAGGTTTGTTGTGCCAGCAGCGATGGCTCCGGTCTGGGTGGCTTCCAAATCACTTTGGCCTTCCCCATGCTGGGTCAGACAACCTGGGGCACTGAGGCATCTCCATCCTCAGCAGCAGGGTGTAAAGTGGTGCCACCTCAGCCCTGCACTGTACCAGGCTCCCAGCAGTGGCACGTCCTGGTGCATGCACACTGGCAGGGTTTGTGTGGCATGTGCCCCATGTCCCTTCTGGTTGGAGGAGTCCCCTTTGGTATTCCTTGTGCCTTGCAGGGAGGGTTACCCATTTCTTTGCTGTATCTCCCTGGGCATCCACTCCCAGTCACTGCTGGGACAAGTTATGTCGAGTGGGGATATGGCAGAGCTGCATTAGATTCTTCCTGCTGCTTCTTTCCCACCGTCTCAGACCTGGCATCCTTGCTGGGACAAGCAGCATCTTGTCTCTCCCCATTGTGCCAGGCCACGTTAAGCCTGTGAACAAGGCTTGCTGCTGCCAAGGGGTTAGGTGGCACCTCGGTGCAGTGTTCAGCTCGCAGTTGTTACCCTCCCAGAGCTCTCTGCAGAGAGCCAGCCCAGCTCTGGTCTGCCTCTGGGCTCTGCTGCACTCTGCATTGAGGAGTAACTCAGAGAGGGAACGTTTCCATGGCTGCTAGCTTGGACCTCTCTGCTTTCCAGGGACACAGCACTGGGACCTCACAGGGCAAATACCAGGGTGGTAACGCTGCCTGTTAATACAGCTGCGCTGCCCGGGCTCTCCCAAGAGAGCTCTTACTGGTGGGGACCTTGTTGAGGGCTGCTCCAGCACGAGGCTTTGGGCAGTGATGGGTTCCCAGGGTTAAGCCCAGCTTTGCTTCCCGGCCGGGTGGGCTGCGAGTGCTGCTCTCTCCGAGCTGCTGGCTTAGCGACTTTTCTGCTAACCTCTGCTTTCCTGCTCCACCGCTGCTGGGACTGTTTTCACAGCAATTCCCAGTTTAACCCCCGTGCCCTCCGACACAGGCACGCCTCATTAGGCACTGTCTGGGAGCGGGATGCAGCCAGGGATGCGGGGTCCTTGGGAGCACCCCGACATGCAGGAGCCGATGTGGGCAGCGCAGCCTGCTGTGCCTCCCAGTGCCAAGCTGTGCCATCTGCCAACAGCCCATAATTATTGGGGGGGGGGGGAGAGAAAAAAGCATCATCAGCTCCCTATTAAATGGGGTAGAGGGCAGGCTTCAACCTGCAGGTGATAATGGTATTTTGCCGTTCACAGTGAGAAAGTGGCGCTGAACAAAACACGGTTATTAGTGTGCTTGAAACTGCTGACATCAAGTGGTTGTGAAATGCTGGCTGCCAGATTGGGTCAGGTTAGGTCTTTGCTGAACAGTTCAGGCTGCTGAGGAGTGGAGATCTGTGGGATGAGAGACCCTGGGTAAACAGTGCCGGGCTGAAGTCAGCTGTTTGCAGCAGCAGAGTGCCTTTGTCAGCTGCTGCTCGGAGTAAAACAGTGGTAAGGGGTGAGCATGGTCAACTCAGTCATGGCCTTCCCCAGTGCTTCCCCTCCTCGGTGTGCAGCATTGGATTAGAACATGTTGAGGGGGGGGCAGGTGAGTTCTATTGGGTTAAATGGCATATATGGGAGCCTGAAAGATATCAAACCCTCCTGTGAGAGTGCTGGAGAAGGAGGGAGAGTTGAGAATAAAATCAGGAGAAACTAATTTGTGAGAACTAGTTATGACCCCAGCTATTCCTGCGGAGGGTCTGTGGTCCGTGGTGAATGGCTTATACACCGGGAAAGTAACTGCAGAGCTGGGATTTGGGTGTCAGAGCTCAGCATCACACTCATTTTCTTGGCCTACCAAAGTTTTGCGCTCTCCTCCACATCTGGAATGCATCTTGAACACTGAAGAGTAGGAAATGTGGAAGGAGCAGCAGCTCTGGCTGGATTACAGTTGTGTTTTTCAGGTGTTGGCTTCAGATCTGGAAAGCAGCGGGGACTCCAGGCTGGGGAAGGGTGAGAATCTCCTCATCCACCAAGCTCAACCCAAAGGGCTTTCAAACATCCAGAATCTTTAGGAGGAAGGAGCATCTTTTCAAGTGTTTGCAGTGCTCAGAGCTGTAAACTGGATTCCCTGTGGGACTCCCAGTGAATTATGAACCTAGGACCATGTGATGACTTCCCCACAGCGTCTGGGGTTGGAGATGCAGCTTGGATTCTGCGGCTGTGGGTAGGCTCAGGACCCATGCTAGGTGGTGAGATTTTTGTAGGGTCCCATAGCTTTGACTTGTAGGTTTTTGCTAATGTCTGTAATTTGCCAGTGATTTGGCTTCAATTTATTGCTGCCTGTTCACGCTGATGAAAAGTGTGTGCTCTTTTAGCAGCACACCATGGTTTTGAGCTCACTTGAGTTTGGCAAATATGTTCTGTGTGGAAATCCTGCTCACTTGTTAGTTCATGTCTCCTCCAACTGAAGCTGGGTAAGTGCGCACATCCAGGATGGATTCTCATTGAGCTTCTGCAGTTTGAAATGGGAATGGTGCTTGTGCATTAGAACATGGGGACTGAAAGGAGCATAGGAAACCTAATCCAGAGAGAAGGACGTAAAAATGTGCCAGGTTGTATCAGTTTGGTTCAAGCACCTTTCATCAAGCTAAAGTAAATGAATGAGTAAAGCACGAGTAGTGCTGTCTCAGGACAGCGCTTTCAGGATGGGTCCCCCTCACCTTATCAGCCTGTTTCTGTTTCACCCAAACGTGTGGCTGGGGCTGCTGCTATTTTTCATGCCATGTTGGAAGTAAGGGTTATTGGTTTAATTTCTTTTGTGACTCCTGCTAGATGCCCACCAAGTTTGGGGTTAAGCTATTTTTGCTGTCTGCCCAGAGGCATGAGCAGCCCATCCATAAATATTAACGTTGTTATCTCAGCTGGGAGGCCAAGGGTCACCTGCAGGAAAATGAGTTGGAATCGGTTCCTGATTTTTATTTCCCAGAGTGGATGGGGTCTGTTTCTAGCTAGAAGGGTTTTCACTCATCCTACGCGTGAAACTGTATTGAAACTGGAAGGTTATTTGGTATCAGGACAAGGTCTTGCTCAGGTTTTACTGGGACTTCTTAGCATCAGTAGGCAAAAAGCAGTGTGCAAGGTGAGCTGTTTCCTCTGGGCATTTGAATGGCTGTCAGATGGGGATGAGCTTCAGGTTTTAACATATGCATGGAGATGGGAGACATATGCATGTCCTGGGTGTCTTCCCACATTGGTGACCCTCTATTGGTCCTCCTCCTCCAAGAAATGCTCTGGGGAGCAGACCTGAGTGATGCTGGTGTGAGAATGCAGCAGGGATAGAGACTGCGGGTACCAAATCCGCCAATGTGACCCCCTTGGTCCTCCCTTCTGTCTCTCTGCACCCCAAGCTGACTCGTGTGCTCTCTGCAGTGCTATGGGGCTCTGCTCACAGCAGATGCTTTACCCTGTCCTTACCTGTTCAAGCCTGTGCCCAGTCCCAATCCCTCTTTATGCTTAAATAAATGCTGGTGTTCATCCCAGGGCCATCTCTAGGAGGAAGAGGGCATTTTTGGAAGAAAAGGCAGGGGGAAAACCCCACCAAAAATGAACAATAAGATCCATAAAAGGAAATTTAACTGGGGGAGATGTATCTTTACAAGATTGAAGGGCCTGGAAACATATTGTACATTTCCAGACACTCGAGTTAAGGGCTCATTTAGAATATTTCAGATACACTGGAGTTTGACAGTTCCTTGGTTTCCACATCAAACAGTCTGTAATTTATTGCCCCGTATAGGGACTGTGTTTTTATCATATTGCATATTCGCTAGCCAGAAATCTAACTACCATATAAGCTCTTGAAGAAAAAGAACCCTTTTGGGGATTGGAATGCAGGCAATGTGCCTTCCCAGACCCTGAGAAACCCCATTTGATTTATTTCCTTGGAAATAAGGGGAACGCACGATTTCTTGGAGCATTACAGCTGCTCCCCAAGCAGGATCTCGCTGCCTTTCTTCACGTGCTCGGTGTAAAGACCCGGGTCCTGTGGTGAGCCCTGTGTGAAAGAGCCTCGTGTCCTTCTTTGTGGGGTTTACAGGGGGATGAGAACAAAACTTAGACCTTTTACAAGGCATAAACCACGGAGCTTTAGCGGCAAGGAAGCAGAAAAGACAAAGGAGGCCCAGAGGTGCAAATGCCCAAGGACAAAATGGGCTGGAAGCTTACAGAAAAGCGAGCCCTGGTGTTTAAATAGGCGCTTGGAGCTGGTTTGATCAACCCATGTGTCCTATATTTGTTTGTAGGTTTAATGGGCTGTTTCCCTGCGGCCTGGCCGCTGGGAGAGGGCAGGCTGGAGGTCACCCAGAAGTTAATTTGGAAAAAGGCCAAAAGGCCACAACTTGATGGAATCAAATCTAAACAAGATAGGGCTGGGAACGGCGCGGTGCCCTTGTGCCTCAGCCTCTCACAGCTCCTCTGCTCTAAATAGAGTGTGATGGAGCATCAGGGACCGGCGACGGGGGTCTAACCCCACCACGGGCGATGATGCTCGGGGTGGGATCCGGATCCCACTCATGGCACACAGGGAACCTGGGAATGGGCTGCCCCAGCAGTGCAGCCGGTGCTCCCTGGGCACGGGGCAGCTCCCATGGGGGGAGATGTGGGGTCCCCGGGAGCTGCTTCGCCAGCCCCTGTCCCAGGCAGCTCAAAGCAGGGAAAACTATTAAGTTCATTATGGGAGACCCTGGGGAGCTGGGGAGGTTTCAGGACTGTATTTCCCCTTCAGCAAGCTCCGTGACTTTGAGGGATTTGGTGGGATACTGTTCCTCTGTGCCCTGCTAGGCTCTGTGAGCTTTATTACTCCCACTGTATTTCAGCTTCCTGACCAGATGAAGTGGCATCATAATGGGAAAAACGCACAAGCTGCCAGATTGTTAAACCAAGTGATGCACAACACTTAACACTTGAAAATGCAACCCTTCCATTGCACCAAAACAAGTTGTTTTTTGTTATGTTCCCCCCTTTTAAA